TCATTTAGCTCTCATCTTCCTCTTACTCACAAGTGACTTTGCCAGAAGCTTTGCTAAAAATCCATATTGGCTATATATCCATGGCATCCCCCAGTTTGCTACTCCAGTAATATTGCTAAAAAATGAAATTTGGTTAATATGAATTTTAAAAAGTTTTGATACCTTTTAATTTTTACATCATCTGTATTTCCCAATAAATTCCTTCCCTCACCTCTACCAGAGTGCTATTCCTTATAACAGAGAATAGGAGAAAATAAATAATTAAATAAAACTAACCAGTCTGTTTTTGAAAATGGTAAATTTCACCTGCTACCTGTTTCCCTTCATCCTTTCCTCTATGTTTGTGTATTCTTACATACCCTAGTTATGAGAAATAGCAGGTTCCACCTACTTTTTCCTGTTTACAGTAGTGGATTGAATTTCTTTTTGGATGCTTGCAGGAGTTTTTCTTTGACACAGGAGCTCTGCATTTCGACTATATTTCTTAGATTTTTCTTCTGGGGTTTCTTTCAGAAGATGATCAATGGATTCTATTATTTTATTCTCCAGTTCTAACAGGTCTGGGCACTTTTCTTGATTTCTTGAAATATAGTATCTAAGCTTTTTAAAAAAATTATTAATTTTCAGTAAGTCTACTGATTCTTAATTTATTTCTCCTTAACCTATTTTCCAGGTCAGTTTTTGATATCAGATATCTTAGATTTTGTTTTATTTTGTCAGACTTTTGGTTGTGTTCTCATATTTCTTGCTGTCTTATGGAATTACTGATTTCTTTTCGATTTAGTCTAGTTTTCAAGGATTCCATTTTTTGAGTAACGTTTATCACTTTCTTCTAAGCTGTTTATTCTCCTTGTACTTTTTCTCTACTGCTTTATCTCTTGCTTTATTTCTTCTAAGTATTCCTGTGGTTCTTGTGGGAAAATCTTTTTTTTTTTAAGTTTAGTTTCTGCTTACAGTTGTTTTACAGTTAGATTTGCAATAATTTTTTTTTCTTTAAATTTACTTGTGTCTCCAAGTTTAGTTTCTAAATTGGGACTTTGTGCCAGGACCACGCATTGCTTACTGTTGGGCTTTTGGATAAGGTGGTTAGTTCTTCTTGGTCTTGCCCTCATTCTTGTGCTGACCTTAACTCCCTTGATCCAGCATGTCCACATCTTTGAGATTCATAGAACTGGATCTTTTTTTTTTAATTTTTTTATTTTTAGCAGTTGGGGTTAAGTGACTTGCCCAGGGTCACACAGCTAATAAGTGTCAAGTGTTTGGTCTGAGGCCAGATGAACTCAGGTCCTCCTGACTTAAGGGCTGGTGCTCTATCCACTGTACCACCTAGCTGCCGCTTATAGTGCTGGATCTTTAAGGCCTTCTGTGGTGTCACAGGACAAAGATCTTAGAGCTTCATGAGCCTAGAATGTCCTATTCCCAAACCCTATTCTGGTGTTTCTCCCTTGGGTTTCTAAGATCCATACCTTGGGACTCTCTGATGACTCTTAGTTTTCTGAAGGGAGCCCTCTCCTTTCACTGCCTCTGGACACAGAGGATCCTTGCAGGCTGCATGTTTCCTGTCTCTGGATGCCCTAGCTCTGGCTTTGCTTGAGAGCTTACTTTTTCCTTTTGATGGTGGACTTCTGACTTTTTGTATAGTTCTGGAGTGGAAGAGATCACTCTACTGTAGTTTGTTGTTGGATTTCTTGATCATTATTTGATCTGGAGTGAATTTTAGGGTTTTGCTGGCCTGACTCGGGCATTGATTGTGAAACCGTGGACATTTAACCTCTATTTACCTCAGTTTCCTCATCTGTAAAATAGGATAATAATAGCACCTACTTCTCATGGTTATTGTGAGGATCAAACGAGATATTTGTAAAGCACTTTGCAGAACTTAAAGTTCTACATAAATGCTAGCTATTGTTGTTGTGTTTGTCATCATCACTATCATTATTAATTAGTGATCTGGGTGGCCTGCTTTACTGTTTCAGGTAGCCATCTTGGCAGGAAACTCAAAATTTAACAAACGTTTATTAAACCCTTATGTACCAGGCACTATGCTGTAGCACTGGGGTTACAAAGAAAGGCAAAAATGCTCCAGCCTCTCAAGGAGCTCATTTTTTAACCAAGGAGACACTGTAACTAGATACATACAAGAGATATACATAATAAATGGAAGGTAATCTCAAAAGGGAAGACATTAGCAGCTGAGGGGATTGGGAAGGGTCTTCTCAAGACGGTAGGATTCAAGGAAGCTGGGAAAACTAAAAGGAGAGGCAGGAATGTATTCCAGGAGTCATGGACATGGAGTGTCTTGTGTAGAACAGCAAATAGGCAAGTGTAGTTGGGTTGGTAGAGTGTGAGGAAGGGAGTAAGATGTAAGAAGACCGGAAAAGCAAGAAGGGGCTGAATTGAGAAGAGCTTTAAATGACAAACAGGACAATTCATATTTTGATCCTGCAGGTTAACAGGGAACTCCTGGAGTTTATTAAAAGGCAAGGGTGAGGGGTGGGGGGGGGGTGGATGACTTGGTTATACTTGTACCTTAGGAAGATGGGGTTGGAATAGAGAAAGAGTTGAGGCAGGGAGTCCATTTAGAAGGCTGTTGAAATAGTCCAAGTGAAACATAATTAGAGCCTGAATTAGAGTGGTGGCTATGTGAGTGAAGAGGACATATATGAGTAGAAACAGGATTTAGTAACCAGTTGGATATGTGGGGTTAGTATGACTTAGGAGTTGAGGATGACACAAAAAAGATTGCCAGCGTGGGGCACTGAGAGGTTCCTGATGCCCTTGAAAGTAATTGGGAAATTCAGAAGAGGAGAAGGATGTGAAGGGACAAATATTGAATTTTGGAATATCAATCAGTCAACAAGTATTTAAGTGCATACTTAAATATTATTAAACTACTTAAATATGTACTAGCACCTGCCAAGAAATGGAGATACAAATACAAAAAATGAAGTAATCTTCACTCACAGTGAGCTTACATTCTAATGGGAGAAGATAAGTACATATAAATATTATTGATAACATAAATATAAAGTTAATAAAGATAACTGTATAAAGTAGTTAAATATAAGGTTTTTTTTTGAGGGAGACACTCACACTTCAGGGGATCAGGAAATGTAGAAGATGGTGCTTGAGCTGGGAAGAGAGGGATTCTCTGAGGTAGAGGTAAAAGAGTGCAATCCAGGCCCAAAGGAATGGTCCCTGTGCAGGCACAGGAAAAGGAGATGGAGTATTGTCTATGAAGAAGAGGGGAAAGGCTAATTCGGTCATATTACGAGTGTAAGAGAGACAATAATGTCCAGCTGGAAAGAGGTAGAAGCCAGGTTGTGGAGAGCTTTAAAAGTTAAACTCGAGTTTATATTTTATCATAGAGGCAATAAATAGGAAGCCAAGTAGTTAGATCTGTAGAAATTCACTTTGGCAGCAATGTGTAGGATGGACTGGAGTGGCGAGAGACTTGACAGGAGACCAGGTTGGAGGCTGTTGTGATAATCTAGGCAAAAGGTGATGAGTGCTTGAACTGTGGTGGAAACTGTGTCAGTGGGGAGAAAGGACTAGGATGTGAGAGAAATTGTCAAGGTAGAAATGACAAGATTTGGCACCTGATTAAATATGTGGGGTAAGGAGCAGGGAGGACTCAGTATAATTGAGATTACAAACCTTTGGAACTATATATGTATATTTATACTAATATATATATTAATGTGGGAATCATCTGTGTAGTCAAGGCAACAAGCATTTATTAAATAAGTGCTTACTATGTGCCAAACCCTGGGCTAACCCCTGGAGATAATGAATACAGGCAAAAAGAAAGACAGCCCCTACCCTCAAAGAACTTACATTCTAGTTGGACTAGAAAACACATAAAAAGGAGGTGAAAATAGGGCTTATAGGGAAGAGAAGGTAGGTACTTGGGCATTTGCTTAATGATAATTGAACCCTAATGATAAAAGAGAGCTGATGAGATCAAGTGAGAGAATTGAGAGAGAAAAGATAAGAAGGCCCTGGACAGAGCTTTGGGGGACACCTACAGCTAGTGAGCATGACATGGATGAAGATCAGCAAAGGAGAATGAACAGTATTGGTCAAACAGGGAGGAGAAAAATAGAGCAAAACCCAGAAAGAAATGAGTATCCAGTCCATTGGTAAACATTCATTAAGCATCTACTATGTGCCAGGTACTGTACTAAGCACAGGGGATATAAACAGAAGTATACTTCAGGGAAGTATGATGTGAGGCCCTCTTCTGAGAGGGTAGGGGCCCAGGGTTCTGTGGGAGGCTTGAAGAGAGGTGAGAAGGTTTGGAACTCTATCTGTTAGGAGTGGGACATCAAATTGAGAAGGGTTAAGTAAAATGTTTACCTCACTGCAATGAGGGCCCAGTTGAGATTAGAAATTTGTCATAGACCCAGTAAGCACCGGCTGCTGATTTCCCTCAGCTTCTTTCAGCAGCACATGAGTAGAATGAAGGTGGTGAATGACTAGAGTAATCTAAAGTTGGAGTTTTGGTAATGGGATTGGGGGGGTGGCACGAGAGAAATGTTGGCCACTAAAAAGTACATGAGGATCGCTGCAGGCTTCATGTTAGAAAACTACATATTAACAGTATCTATGTTTTATTGTACTTTTATTTATTGAATTTACTATTTATTTTGTTAAATGTTTCCCAGTTAACCAGATTTAATTCTGGTTCATGCTGCACTCAGGAATGTTGTGGACCACATGTGACTGTGACTTATGCAAATGGCACTTGCTTGGCAGTTTATAGTCTTGGAGGGTTGTTTCAGGGTACCAAGGAAATTAAATGTACCCAGAGTCACTCAGCCAGTTTGTTTCTGAGACATGACTTATACTGAGATATTTCTGATTCTCAGTCTCTTTGTCCACTATAAAATGACTCTCCAAAGTGTGGCTAATATTTCTAAAATGCTGATGGAAAAGACAGAGATCAATAAGAATTTTGTGAAATACTAATGTATACTCTGTATTTATTTTGTTTTTAGATGACAGTTGTATAAAGAATGTTTCAGATAGACTTCGAAAGGCTGAGACTAACCTCAATGAAGTCAGAAACAAAATTTTTGCTAAGCTTCAACCAAAACTTCATTGTAAGTTAGGTAAGTAATTTGCAGTGATGGAAACTTTAAGTGTTCTGTTTTTTGTAGTTGAAGAGTTTCTTTAGAAGAATGGTCTCCCAGCTTTTAAAATCACAAACCTTTAGCAGTTAAAAATTTTGAGCATACACTCTAATATTTACTTATAAATTATGTTCATATATTTCTTTCATAAAATGCAAAATATGCACAAAAATGGAAATTAAAATGGATGAGATAAATATGAAATTTTATTGATGGTACAAAACCCTTTTTGCTTTCACTAAAAGTATTAATATTAATAGAGCATAACAATAATATTATTAATGTTTTGTGAGAGTGGTGTGATTAAATAGGTTCCATTGTTTTATGAAAAATCCTGTGCATGTCCAGGAGGATAGGATGGACCTTGTTTTTTGGACGACTAGGTCTTTCTATTTCACTCAGGCTCAAAGTACATTGGTAGCTCATGGGCCAAATTCCACTGCTGATAGCTGTTGTTTTTGACCTGTTTCATTTCCAAGCATGCTGGTTTAGCTCTCTTCCACCACTGAGGGCTTGCTGTGTTTGTGCCCAACTTAGTGTGGGACACCCAATCAGTTATTCAATTAATTTGCTTTATGTAGTTTGCCAAGCAGATGATTTTTTTTAAAAGATTTTGTTTTTTCCCCCCAATTTTATTAATTTATTTATAGTTTTCAACATTCACTTCCACAAGATTTTGAGTTCCAAATTTTCTCCCCATCTCATCCCTCCCCTCACCCAAGATGGTGTGCATTCTGAATACCTCTTCCCCTAATCTGCCCTCCCTTCTATCTCCCCCCCTTCTCTTAACCCCCTTGTCCTTCTGTTTTCCTGTAGGGCAGGATAGATTTCTGTACCCATTGCCTGTATATCTTATTTCCCAGCTGCATGTTAACAATTTTTGTTTTTGAAACTTGGGGTTTCAAATTTTCTTCCTTCCTCTCTCCCCATCCACCCTCATTGAGAAGGCAAGCAACTCCATACAGGTTATATGTGTGTAGTCATGCAAAACACTTCCATAGTAGTCATGTTGTGAAAAACTAACTGTATTTGTCTTCATCCTATCCCGCTCCCCATTTATTTTATCTCTTTTGACCCTGTCTTTCCTCAGAAATGTTTGCTTCTGATTATCCCCTCCCCCAGTCTACCCTCACCTCTATCATCTCCCTGCTCTCTTGTCCCCTTCCTCCCTGTTTTCCTGTAGGTTAAGATAGATTTCCATACCCAATTGAGTGTGTATGTTATTCCCTCCTTAAGCCAGATCAAATGAGAATAAGATTCGATCATTCTCTCTCACCTTCCCCCACTTCCCCTCCACTGTAAAAGCCTTTTCTTGTCTGTTTTACATGAGATAATTTACCCCATTCTACCTCTCCCTTTCTCCTTCTCCCACTATAATCCTCTCTCACCCCTTAATTTTATTCTCCAGATATCACCCTTTCATCTTCAACTCGCCCTGTGCCCTCTATCTATCTATCTATCTCTCTGTCTGTCTATCTGTCTGTACATATAATTTTTTTCCTCCCAACTACCCTAATACTGACAAAGGTCTCATGAGTTACAAATATCATCTTTCCATGCAGGAATGTAAACAGTTCACCCTTAATAAGTCTCTTATGATTTCTCTTTCCTGTTTATCTCTTCATACTTCTCTTGAGTCTTGTATTTGAAAGTCAAATTTTCTATTCAGCTCTGGTCTTTTCATCAAGAATGCTTGAAAGTCCTCTATTTCACTGAATGTCAATTTTTCCCCTGCAGGATTATACTCAGTTTTGCTGGGTAGGTGATTCTTGGTTGTAATCCTGTCTCCTTTGCCTTTCAGAATATCATGTTCCATGCCCTTCGGTCCCTTAATGTAGAAGCTGCTAAATCTTGTGTTTCCACAATTGTGTTTCCACAGTACTAGAATTTTTTTTTCTGGCTGTTTGCAATATTTTCTCCTTGACCTGGAATTTGGCTACAATATTCCTAGGAGTTTTCCTTTGAGGATCTTTTTCAGGAGGTGATCAGTGGATTCTTTCAATTTCTCTTTAGCCCTCTGGTTCTACAATATCTGGGCAGTTTTCCTTGATAATTTATTGAAAGATGATGTCTAGGCCCTTTTTTTGATCATGGCTTTCAGATAGGCCAGTAATTTTTAAATAATCCCTCCTGGATCTGTTTCCCAGGTCAGTTGTTTTTCCAGTGAGGTATTTCACATTATCTGCTATCATTCTTTTGGTTTTGTTTTAGAATGTCTTGATTACTCGTAAAGTCACTAGCTTCCAATTGCTCCATTCTAATTTTTTTTGGTTGTTTTTTTGTTTGTTTGTTTCTCTTTAGGCAGTTGGGGTTAAGTGACTTGCCCAGGGTCACACAGCTAGTAAGTGCCAAGTGTTTGGTCTGAGGCAAGATTTGAACTCAGGTCTTCCTGACTTCAGGGCCGGTGCTCTATCCACTGTGCCACCTAGCTGCCCCTTCCATTCTAATTTTTAAGGAAGTATTTTCTTCAGTGAACTTTTGGACTTCCTTTTCCATTTGACCAATTCTGCTTTTTAAGGCATTCTTCTCATTGGCTTCTTAGAACTGTTTTGCCATTTGAGTTAGGCTATTTTTTAAGGTGTTATTTTCTTCAGTATTTTTTTTTTTTGGTCTCCTTTAGCAAGCTGTTGACTTGTTTTTCATGATTTTCTTGCATCACTGTCATTTCTATCCTCAGTTTTTCCTCTACTCCTACTTGTTTCTCAGAATCCTTTTTGAGCTCTTCCATGGCCTGGGACCAATTCATATTTTTCTTGGATGCTTTGGATGTAGGAGCTTTGACTTTGTTGTCTTCTTTTGGTCACATGTTTTGATCTTTTTTGTCACCAAAGAAAGATTCTATGGTCTTTTTTTGTGAAGTTTGCTCATGATCCCAGCCAGTTACTTGATTTTATAAACTCTTTGTTAAGGTAGGGGTTTGCTTCCAGTGTGGAGAATGTACTGTCCCAAGTTTTGGGGGTTTTGTGCAGCTGTTTTCAGATACTTGTAGGGATCTATAAATTTTCAGTTCTTACAAGGTGGTATGATCAAGGGCGAGGTGTTTACTCCTTTCCTGGCCTGTACTCTGATCTGTGAGTGACCACAAGCACTCTTTTCTGCCTTGGAACTGTAAGAAGGATTTCCTCTCCACTGCCACTACAAGCTCTACCACACCAGTGCTCCTCCTTGCCCCAGGACTGCCACACGGAACTGTGACCCAGATCCAAGCATGGGCAAAGCAAGAGAATCCTGCACCAGCAGAGAGATTGCTGCAGTGCCCCTCTGATCATCCACTTGATTCTCCCTGTCTGTGGGCTGAGCTCTGGAAGCAGCTGCCGCCTTGGGTTTTGTGCGGGACTGGGGCTGGGACCAAGCCTCTCTCTCACTGCAGTCACAGACTTTTCCTGTTGGTGTTTGTGGGTTGAGAAGTCTGGAAACCGCCACAGCTGCCGGTGATTCAGTCCTCTCGAGGCCTGGTCTTTGCTTGTGTGTTCACGCTGAACTGTGTTTCTTTCCCAGTCCAGTGCGATATACTTTTCCAATCAACCATCCAGGTTGTCTTAGGCTGGAAATTTGTTTCACTCTATCTTTTTGTGCCTTCTGATCCTCTAGAATTTGTTTAGAGCCATTTTTTTTTACAGGTATTTGGAGGGGTTTGGGGGAGAGCTCAAGCAGGTTACTCTCAGATTAATCTGAAAGCTCAAGTCTGACTATGTCACCCCTACTCAATAAACTGTAATGATTCCCTATCACCTCTAGGATTAAATATAAAATCTTTCTTTGGTATTCAAACCCTTTTCTAATCTGCCCTTTCTTCCCCCCTCTCCCACCCAATCTTTCCAAGCTTCTCTCACTGTCTGCCTCATGACACTCCATCTCCAAACTGCAGGCGTTTTCACTGTATGTCCCCCTTGCCTGGAATTCTCTCCCTCCATCTCTACTTTGTGGCTTTTTTCATGACCCTGCTAAAATCCCACTTTCTACACAGAGCTTTACCTGATCTCCTTCAATGCTTGTGCTTTGCCTCTTTGGATTATTCAATGTATCTTTTATATGTCTTGTTACATAGTTGTTTGCATGTTGTATCCCCCATGACAGCTTGAGAACTGAGTATAAAACAGAAATTGAAAGCTTTTCCCCTAGTTGGCCTGTTTACTGGTTATAAAACTTGGAAGCCAGCATTTATACACACACACACACACACACACACGTGTATAGGTGCAGCAAAACTCCCCCACATCAGTGGAATCTGATAGTCTATGCAATGTTCCACACAGGTGCATTTTCTCCACTTTTCTTCAGGGCCAAACCTGATAATTACAATTAGTTTTCTTTTAAAGATAGTAACTATATTTAATGATCTTTATGAGCACCAAAAATTCTTGAAATTAATTCTTCTGAGGAAGAATTAGACTTTAGCCAGGGTGACTAGGAGTCAAGAGAGAGATTCAACTCCTTGTTCTGCCATTAACCAACTGTGTAGCCTTGGGCATGTTATTTAACAACTCTGAACTTCAGTACATGAAATAAGGAGTAAAAACACTAGAATATATTTAAGATCCCTTCTAGTTCTTAAATTCCAGGATTCTTTTTCACAAGTTATTTTATTTCAAGATCTATAGCTAAAATAATTTCTAGCAAAACAACTAAACTCATCAGTAATAGTCTTGGATCAAACCTGGCTCCTAATCTCCTAGGCTTTCCTTGATTCATCAGAGAAAAATATTTCCTTTCTCTTGCTTTCCGTTCTACCCCAACCCCCTCCTTTTTCTAGTCCCCGTACCTGATTTAATAACCCTTTTAAAATAAGTTGTCACAATAGTCTTCCACTGGGGAGGAAGAAAAGAGATGGTAAATTTTGGAACCTTTAACCAAGAAATTGTGGGAGTAGGGGAATTACTTTTTTTTCCTCACTCTAAAATTAGATGTGCAACCGTTATTTAGTAAGATGACAGTTATATTAGTAAATAAAATAAGACTAATGTTCTTGAATGCTTCTTGATTGTGTTTAAAAACCTGCCCTCTAAAAGCACTTTTTTTTCTTTTTGAAGGTAATATGGAAAGTCCTGTGTTTGCATTTCCCTTGCTTCTGCAAATGGAACCTCTCATTGAAACGCTCTTCATGTCATCTTTTTCTTGGAACTTTGAGTGTTTTCAGTGTGGAAACAAATATCAACAGAGGTTAGATATTTTTATTGAAATTATTTTTAAAAGTATTATAGCTTTGTAAATATATCAGGCACACAAAATTTGAATAGTCTGTGCTTGTATAGTACTACTCTTATTCCCAGACACTTAAGGCACAGTTTCTTAGTCTTACAGTTACACAGTTATTCAGATTTGTGTGCTTGTGTCTTTAAATCTGGTCTCTGGAAATTAGAAAATCAAGGGATACCCTAAGTTTTTTTGGGGGGAGGGGGGTAGGGATAGGGTGGTTTAGGACTAGGTTGGTAAATGTTTAGAAAGGGAAACGTAGAATATCCAGTACTTATAGTCTCCCTGAGTTTTCTGCTCAGTAAAAATTAATGAGAATCCTTAGAAACACACACACTTGGTTGTTTCACTTTTGCTTAGGACAAACCCATTTTATAATAAGAATTGACATTTACTTAGCACTTTAAGTCTGCAAAGACTTTTATGTACATTATCTCATTTGAGTATCATGACAGGTAGGCCCCTCTAGTTATTACTACAGGTGTTATTATCCCCGTAATGAGATGAGGTAATGAAGGCCCAGAGAAGTTGACTGACTTCCCCATGCAGCAGTAGGTGTGGGAGTTTTCCTAACTCCACCACTACGCTATGAGGTCTCTAATTACCCATTACTGCCTCTGAGAGGAGGGAAATCAATTTCAGGGTCATAGGATTTGACAGATAATCTCAAAGAATAGTTACTTCTATTTTCTCATTCCTTCCCTCAGTCCCATGGAAGACTTACCATCCACCATGGCCATCTTCTTTTCTTTCTCCTGACAGAAGTGGTAAACTGATCTTTGAGCTGCCCCAGCTTTGAAACCCCTCGGTGAGATGGTCACGTTGTAACCCTGAGTCTGGCACCTGGGGGTGAGGTTGGGAAAAGGCAATTCCATCATTTTTGAACCCTAGAAAATCACCACGAACATCTTTTTACCTATTTAACTGGGATTGGGAAAAGAAAAGATTCAACTAGTATTATTCCTGTGCCTTCTCCCTTTCTGGAAGGAGAGAGAAGTTGATGAACGATTTGGAAGTATAAAGTTAGGAACCATCCTCTTCTTTTTGCTATCCAGACAATGTTGTATGATACAAGGAGGAGTAGACTTGGATTCACAAGGTCTGAGTTCTTCTTCTGACCTGTGTGACCTTGGGGCAAATTACTTAAACCCTATCTGTAAAACGAAAGGTTTAGATAGAGTGACCTCTTAAGGGTCTAGTTTTAATATATTCAGATTACAAGTGAAAACTATCTTTTCTTTGATCCTTATGTCCATTAATAAAATAGAAAATGTTGATCTTGGGTATATTAGTGGAAAAATTTTTGAGGAGAGAAGTTAGATTTGACTTTTTCATTATCTAATTTTTCTGGCAGCTGTTTTAGGTACAAACAAAGCTAGGAAATAGTTTGTTTACCTTCTTTTATTGATGAAAAAATCAAGAACAGGCTGTAGCTGTGAAGTTGTAAACTGAAGTTGTGGGCAAACATAACTCCCAAAGTGGCTAAACAGTTCGAGGAAAAATAAAAATATCACTAACATATAGGACTGAGATTACTTTGTTTAAACAAGCATATAAAATTATCTCTCTAAGTACCTTGGCATTCAGTCAACAGCCTTGAGACTGTTTTCTGTTTGAAGGTAGTTTGATTTAAAATCACAGTGATGGTTATTTTATACTATGGCATTTATATGATCATTTTTTTAAAATCCAAAATCTATTAATTTATTTATTTTTAGTTTTCAGCATTCACTTCCATAAGATTTTGAGTCCTAAATTTCCTCTCCCTCCCTCTCCACCCCACTCCCAAGATGGCATGCAATCTGATACAAACTATACATATACATTCATATTAAACATATTTTCACATTAGTTATGTTGTAAAGAAGAATTAGAAGCAGTGGGAGAAACCTCAAGAAAAAAGTAACAAAAAAAAGAGAGAGAGCAAATAGTAAGCTTTGATCTGCATTCAGACTCCATAGTTTTTTTTCTGGATATGGATAGCATTTTCCGTTGTGAGTCTTTTGGCATTGTCTTAGATACTTGCTATATGATCATTTAAACTGACCCCCTTATTACTAAAAACTTGAGAGACTTTTGTAACAGAAGATATCACTGAGACTCATTTTTCTATAAAAGTCTTCTATGGTATCCACCTAGATTTGATGCCAAATTAATTTGCTTCTTTTCCCCCTCCTCCTTCTACTTTTTTTTTAGGAGTAAAACTAACATGAGAAAGGAAAAAAGGCAAAGGGTCAAAAAGCTAAAAGTGAAATTAGCAGGTCATCAGACTTTTCTTAGCATATTTGTTACAGCTAAAAGCTGAACTAGCTAATGTCTGCTATAAGGAAAAAAACAGCATGCACATTCATTTACTTACTATTTCTGTTGAATATTCTATTTTCAACATTAATTCTCTAAATTAAGTTTTACTTAGGAACCACTAGTACATCAGAGAGAAATAGCTGACACTTAGATGTGAAATGCAAAAAAAGAAAACCATATTTTATCAATTTGCCTTCAGAATTTAGAGTAAGAGAACCATAATTAATATATTTGCACATTTCTCTTGCTCAAGACATCTATTGTGATCTTTATAACTTACATTTTAAAAACAATCAAACATATCTTTCTATGCTTTCTCTAGAGTTTTCTCTTTTCAGTATTTTAGATTTAGCATATTTATGATACTTGATCATTGTTAATCATTGTTATAAGTTAAACCCAAGTTTCTAAGGTGGATTTTTTTTTTAAAGACTCAAGTCTTTCAGTGTTCTGGACCTGGAGTCAGAAAGACTTGAATTTACTAATTAGCTGTGTGCCCTGGGCAAATCACCTGATCGCTGTCTGCCTCACTTTCCTCAACTGTAAAATGAGGGTCAATCCTAACAGCATCTACCTTCCAGGACAGTCTGAAGGTCAGATGAGATAATAATTGTAAAATGCTTAGCATAGTGCCTGGCACATAGTAGATGCTTAAGAAATGCTTGTTCCTCCCTTGTTCCCTATTGCAGTAATATATCAAACAACATACAGTTTAAAAAAATGTGTTTTTCAGAGGCTGTTAATGTATATTCTTTTGATTAGGTTTAATTTTTTAAAATTCCATGTAGCTTTGCCTAATGAAATTCTCAATAACACGTTCTTTTATTATAAAAATGTGACCAAGGAAATGGAACTACTTATATATTTTTACTAATACATAATTTCAACTAATTTTTTCTTCTTAAATGCTAGCTATATTTTTTCTTTCAAAAATTTTGTCCTTTTCCACTTCTGACAAGTGCTAATTCACCCCTCCTTAGTCAGCCTGGCTGCTCCCTGCTCTTTGGAGCTCACTTTCAGTGCAGAATTTAGTTTGGATACCTTGACTGATTTAACCCCCTACAGCTCAGAACTCTAGAGCCCAAGAGATATTCTAGCTTCAGCTTCCCTCAGTAGCAGGGATTACAGGCATGTGTTGCCAACCTGACTAATTTTAATTTTTAAATTATTAAAAGCTGTTATATTTAAAGCTAATGTGAACACAGACATATTTACTATGTTTATGATTGACTAAAGATTTTAGTCATTTTGAAAAAAGTCAAAGTCCTTTGTCTTTTTTTTTTAAAGCAGTTTTGAACTTTCTTTTTTATTTGGTATAGTTTTGAACTTTCAAAAATGAATTAAACTCACAAATAAAATAATAGCAACCGTCTAATGAGCACAACAATGTATATATCTCCTTTTATCCAGGTGTTCAAAGAATCTGGTAACCTTCACAAACATAATACCTGAGTGGCATCCACTTGATGCTGTCCATTTTGGTCCATGTAACAATTGTAAAAGTAAATTACAAAGAAGAAGAATGGTCTTGGAAAAGTAAGTTCAGTTTTCTTCAAATTTCTAGTATAAATGTATATAGATGTAGGTATTTTAAAATGTAAAGGGTTAAACAACCCATAAACATGAAGATACAATTTATCATTATAAAATTTTGTTTTAATTGATAGAATTTCAATATTGTCATATAGGGTAAAGTATGGTTTGTAATGATCATTGAAGGAGGCTCGACCTGACAGGACCTCTTATGTATTTTGCACATAAGCAGCTTCTCAGAGCATTTGGTGGGGAGGGAGCAGCTGAAGTGGGATAGAATGCCAAGGATGGGGAACCTGCAGCCTTGAGACCACAGTTTCCCCACCCTTGGAGTAGACCTTCACAAATCCTACTTATAATCAGGTGACTTCCCTAGTTTGTGTCAGCTGGCAGCAAGAGGAAGGAATTAGCACCAGTGATACCTAGTTTGGGCTCCTGTTTGACAAATCTTCCTTAAGGGGAACTAGAACCAATATGATACTGTATATGTCCAATAAAAATCCTAATGCAGTAGGTTTAATTTTGAAACTGGAACTTTTACATTTGTGTTTTGCTATTAAAGTGGATCTTTGATAAAGTAGATCTTCTTAAAGTGCTTAGGCTGTTTTATAACTTTTAGTAACCAGATTTGTAAATATGATAGATAAAATTATAATTGTCAGTTAAAGACTAAATCATTGTAGGTTTTAGCAGTATTAAAAACTGTACAAATATTTTAATACAGTTTCAAAGTAATGCTCCCCTATGATATATTTCTCAAGCCTCTTAGTTCTTCTAGCTTCTCTTTTACTGTCTTCTACCTGTGCTCCTTGATAAAGGCATTTCTCAAGTCCCTTCTCTCATCTCTTTGTGTCCTTTTCCTTAGTTATCTCTTCTATTTCTGTAGCTTTAGCTATAACTAAATGCTGGTCTCCAACCCTTATCTTTCTCTTTCAACTTGCAGTTTCCAATTGCCCACTCTTATCCTAAGTTCTGACATGTATCTGCCAGGATATCCTGCTGGCCTCTCCAGTGCAGCATCTCTAAAATTGGATTCATTGTCCTTTCTTCTTCATTATCTTCAGTTCCTACCTCTTCTTCACTGTTTTAGTGACCAAATACTGTCAAATTTATCTTTATAACACCTCTGCCATCTATTCACTCCTCTTCATGTCTATTGCCACCATTTCAATGAGTTCAGGGCCTCATTACCTCTCACCTGGGCTATAACAGTAGCTTCCTAACTATCAGTCTATGCTACACATTAGTGCACTTAATTAATCTTCTTAATATGTTGATATAATAATATTCTTCTACCCAAAAATCTTCAATGGCTCCCAGTTACTTGGCATTCAAAGCCTTCCATAATCTGACTTTAATCTGTTTTTGCAGCATCATTTCCATACCACTTACTTCACATACTTCAACCAAAGAAAACAGTCTCTCAAACATAACCTGCCTACTTCCATGACTTTGTGTAAATCATATGCTTAACATTTTCTTATCCCTCATCTGCTTGTGGAAATCCTGTTCAGATTTCGAGATCCATCTCAGATGCCGTCTCCTTCATGAATACTTCCCTTATTCCTGCTGCTCAGCTAAAAATGAGCTCTTGCTTATCAACTCAAATGCTACCTGTTTGTACCTCTCTTGTGCTCTAACATTCTAGTTTGCATTATAGTTATCTGTGAGAACATGTCACCTCCTCTACTAAATTTTAAATATCTTGAGGGCATGGACTATGTATGCCTCATTTATCTTTCTATCTCTTTTAGTGCCTATCATATTCTTATTTTGCTTATGATAAGTAAATGTGGATTAACTCAGTGAATGAATTGACATGCTGAATATTTCATTTTTAAAAGAACATCATTATTAAATTAAATTAGCAAGAATTTGGTCATGTCATTGGCCTACCTCTGCTAATTTGCTTTCTGAGGAAAATCTCAGTTATGACTTAGCCCTCATTGGTTATTTGTGGACAGTGTTCTGTTATTTTCATGGACTCTGTTGAAATGTTCCCCACATACTAGTCAGAGTTGTCTTACCCATCTCCTGGATAAGTGGTTATCACTTACAAAATAGGTTTCTTTTAAATATTCAGTTAAAAGGTAGATTTCCGTTTAGAATGGTTAATATTTTCATAAGTTTTCAGTCTTGTTTTCTGAAAATGTGGAAAGTATACTCACAGCTAATAAGGATTTCATTTATGCTAAGCATAATACACAAGTTACCATCTCACCTATAATTGCCATTTTTTATGGAAAGATCTGAAACAGGAAAACATTGTTCTTACTTTTGCAGCATATTAAATTTATCTTTAAATGCCATTTATAGCTTATTTTCATCAAATCTTATATTCTTAGGTATTGGTTTAAAATTTTAAAAGGAGTTTATAAAAACCTTGTGTAATCAATAGTGAATTTTTGAATTTTTTTAAATGACAAGTTACTTGTCTAGAACATTGAACAATTGTGCCTTGAATATGCTTTGAATCATTAGCGTCGCACATGGTGGCTACTCTGCTGTGGGAAGGAGTCTGGTGACATTATCTTGGGAAGCAGTTGAACTCAACATAAAATTATGGAACAAGTTAGGATTGCTACCTAAAAAACTGGGCTAACATCTTAAGATAGTAGACTTGGATAGATGTAGGCCTTGAAATCCCATCCTTTCTCTCAAGACAAACAATGTCCATTCCGTTAATACCATCTTCCCACAGATGTTCTAGGGTTGAGCTAGTCTCCCTTCCCATCTCTCAGTCCTAGACCCTAAACAGTTCTGGATGACACGCTTGAGGAAGGATGTTGACAAATTGGAGCATGGAATGGTGAGGGGAGCTCAAGCCTAAGCTCTACAGGGGTAGAATGTGAAAGAGACATTAGACTTGATTTCAACCTCAGAGAGGCTGTGGGGAAAAAAACAACTAGCCCTTAGAGTGGAAGTAAGTTCTTGTGCACGTCAGGTCTTCAGACAAAGGCAGTTTGGTAGGAGGGGATGGTTGGTTGTTTGGGTTAGAGGGACTCGTGGAGCCCATTTCTGGAATTCTGTGATCACTGAGCCTCAGGGACATCAGCTGTGCATGTCCTGAACTATGAGAAGAGTTGAATTGTAGGGAATAGCACCCAGGGGACTAAAGAAAAGAAAAGGTGAAAAGGAGTCAGTGTGAGGAGAAAGCCTCTGCCTGTGGAGAAAAGTAGTGCCACTCAAGCTTGCATAGAAACACTGGAATTCAGTTTTGCTTTACTTTACCTCACCTTAGGCACTAACACTTAGGGTTACTACTTAGCACCAAGAGGCTAAGTACCAAAAACAGTCACTTTAAATTTAAAATCTAGAAAATGGGTATCGTTAAAATCTGCCTTCTGCTTTAGCTGGAGAATAAAATCATTTCCTAGAATAGAAATTATTTCCTTGTTGCCTTTTGCCTGGACTTTTATGTTAGCTTCCTAATTTGTCACTTGACATCAAGTTTCTACTCTCTGCAGCCCATGTTCCACAAAAGATGTGTCTGATTTTCATAGTGTGAAGGTCTGACTGCTCTCTAAACTCTCTTGTTTAACATTTATCCAACCAATTTTCCCCGTTTGTTATACATTAGTTTCACACGCTATGGTCCAGCCCAACTGGCCTTATTGCTCTGCCTTAAAACATGATAGTCTGTCTCCCGTCTCTGTGCCTTTGCAGAGGCTAGAATGTACTTCTGGACTTGTGCCTCTTAGAATTTTTATTTCTTTCAAAGCTCGACTTAAATACCCCCTCCTCAATGAGGCCTTACCTGATCCACTTATTTTGTATTTATGTATGTGTACATGTTGTCTCCTTTATTAAAATATAAGCTCCTTTAGGGCAGGGACTGTTTAATTTTTGTCTTCATATTTCTAGTACTCAGCACAGTGCCTGGTACATAGAAGGCATTTAATAAATGCTTACTGATTGACACATCTCCTATTTCCTAAGCTTATTTTCTATACAATGTCCAACCCAAGTTGTTAAAGTTTAAAAACTGGAAAAAATTAAAATGACTTCAGGTTTTCCTACAAACTATTTCTTTGTATTTAATGGAATTTACTTACTTCATTGGTTAAAATAAGTTGAGAAAAGAATGTTTTCAGATGTTAAGCTGATACAGACCAGTTATTATTTTTATGAATGAAGAACAAAGGATTTAAAAGAAGTTTCATCATTCAGCCTGCAGGTAGCTTCATATAGTCAGCAGTAGGGTATGGTGTGACTCTTTTGGTACATAGTGAGACACATCAACAGAAGTGAAACATAGTGAGAAGTGGAGAGTTAGGGGCTAAAGGCTTGGAAAGAAATACATCTTTAATATTATAATTGGAAAAAAATAGGGGAAATAGGATCTAATATCTAGGATTTTGCTGTATAGGCAAATTTTTAGGAATATATTCTATATATTGAGGGGCATTTGTAATTTGAAGATTTGATTGCTTTCCAGCTGAATGTGTAATTAGGAGTAATTCATAATAATTATGTGATTAATCTGAAATGTTAAGAAATACTATGAAGTCCATTTCAGCTGAACATCTTGAGACACTGAGTTTTGGCAGCTTTTGAAAAATTAGTAGAAGGGACACTTACACTTGACAGTTTTCTTAAAGGCTGAAAAAGGATTCATTTCATTCATACTTAATTCAGGACCCAGCTTAAGGCTGATTTAACGATAATCTATAGATGAGACAAATTATTCTTTTTTTAGCAGTACTGGAGATAGAATTTTGGAATTGCTATGAACTTTAGTTCCCAAGAAATTATTTCAATGGTTTTTTTTCCTCCATTCTTTTGTTTTTGCAAGTTGAATTCTTCCTCCAAGTATAATTTTACAGAATTTCAGGTTTGGAAGGGATCATAGGCCATTTAGTCTGATCAGTACCTAAACAAAAATCCCTGCTATACCATACTCAACAAGTGGTCATCAAGCCTCCAGTACCTCCCTAGACAGCCCATTCCACTTTGGGTTAGCTCTGATTGTTAGGAGCTATCCAGAGCCTTTCACAATCTCTCTCTCCCAACTGGCCTCACTTTCCTCCTTTCAGTAATGACAGTCTTGTTAACAAGTTCAGCTTCACATTATCTTCCTTCCTTGAATCCTGTACCCCTTGTTCTGTTGCCCTTCATTCCTTTCCAAAACTCATTCCTGGATTACTTCATCCCTCTTCTTCACATCACCTCGTGTGCTGCTGACTGCCACTGTATTCCATGCCTTGCTATCATACAATTAAACCATCACAACACAGCCATACTAATTTGCAGTCACGTCACCTTGGGAAACAGTATTGCTGAAATTATGTTATTATTGTAATTGTCAAACATCAAATCTAGATTTACTACTAATCGGGGTTAAGTGACTTGCCCAGGGTCACACAGCTAGTAAGTGTCAAGTGTCTAAGGCCAGATTTGAACTCAGGTCCTTCTGACTCCAAGGCCAGAGCTTTATTCACTGCGCCGCGTAGCTGCCCCTAGATTTACTTCTTTATGTTGCTTCTAGTTGTGCCTTAGTTCTGGCCAAGCAGAAATCTAATCCCTCTTCCAAGTGACAATTCTTCAGACATCTAAATGTCCTCACCTCTGTTATCCTGATTGGCCTTTTTTGGGTAGCTCATCAATAGCCTTGCTAAAATGTTGTTCCTAGACCTGAATGCAATATTCTGAATGAGACTAAGAAGTCCCTTGTTTAGTCATTTTCAGTCAGGTCTGGCTCTTTGTGACCTCATTTGGGGTTTTCTTGACAGAGATACTGGGGTGGTTTGCCATTTCCTTCTCGAGTTCATTTTACAGATGAGGAAACTGAGGCAGACAGGGTTAAGTGACTTACCCAGGATCACACAGCTAATAAGTCTCTGAAGCAGATTTGAACTCGGGAAGAGGAGTCTAGGAAGACTCCAGACCTGGCACTCTATCCACTGTGGCACCTAGGTGCCCTTGACCTGGATAGTATTCTTCCCTTATTGCAGCATAAGATTATGTCAAATTGGCATATTTTAAAGAGGTTTTATTGATTTCTTTTTGTATCACCCTTCTTTTCCAAACTCTGCAAATGTCCTTTCTCCCTCGCCTCCAAGCACATAACAAAAACTGTTAAACAGAACCAGGTAGTACAGTGATCCATTGCATGACAATCTATCTGTATTATCCCCACTACTTTATGAGGACAAGGGATATATGTTTCATGATCTGTTCACCAAGACAAAGATTAGTAATAATAGGGGCTCGGGGTTTGACTTCCTTTTAGTATTTAGTATTCTTTTTCCTTTGTCATTGTTGATGTTGTTCTCCTAATTCTATTTACTTCACTCTGCCTCAGTTTATAACATTCTTCCCATTTTCACCGAATTCCTTATATTTTAAAATGATGATTCCTATTTTCTTAAACTACCAGTTAGAACAACTAATTTGGAGAAATCTCAGAGAATGGTGTTTGAGGGTCTGAGTTTGATTGTACAAGGTGGCTGTGGCTACTTAGAGATTTCCTTATAAGACATAATGGGTATATTTTGCAAAGCAATTTTTGCTTAATGGACTGTGATAGAACCTTATTGCATGATAGCTTCCAACTGTGAGTGATAACCCTTCTGAGGAAGGTTTTGTGTTACATACTTTTAAAAGAGTTCTTCAATTCTAATTAAGAAACACATCTGGAGGGTCTCAGAAAAAAAAATTACTGCTTCAGTGTGGTAGCAGTCAGCCCTGAAAATGAATTGTATGTGACTTGTTAGCTTCCGACTGCCTTTTGTATAACAAGACATATGGTATTATTTGTTTGACTTCTCTTTTCTGTTTCCCTCCAGAGTGTCTTCAGTATTTATGCTGCACTTTGTAGAAGGCTTGCCACGTAATGACTTGCAGTTCTATTCGTTTCACTTTGAAGGCTTTTTCTACCAAATAACTTGTGTGATTCAGTATCAAATGAATGAAAAACATTTTATAACTTGGATTTTGAATTCCGATGGTAAGTATTTCAACTTGATTTTTGTAATTCATGCTATTAAAAATGAAGTTTTAAAGTATTTGTCAAAATAGACAATAATAAGTATTCTTTTGATAATGCTGGCTGATTTGTATATGTAGTTAAGAATTCACATTATTAAGTTTGCAATCTTTTTTTATCCTTACCTTTAAATAGGAAAAGACTTTAATAATTTAGTTGTGTGTTTATTTATACATATAATACATGCATAGACATACATACATCCATTCCACATGTAAAGGAACAACCAGATAGGAGAATTTGTTCATTCCACCAAAGGTCTTAAATATAGAAATATAGCTAAAGAAAAATTCTGTTAACCTCTTTAACAAATTTTTGTTATGGTTTATCTGTTCTCAGATATAATTATTAAGCAAAGGGTTTCCGCTTGATTTAGACTAAGCTCATGAAAGTGCTAAGCCTGACTCCCAGAAGTGAAATTCAGATATTTGCCAGTGGCTGTATTCCATTCTCAATAAGCAATTTGTAGAGGAGGGTCTTCAACAAGCATTTATTTTCTTGGAAATGTTACTGATCTCTTTTATTTTTACATTGCCTAAATTTCTCTCAGAATCTCTCCTCCCCATCTCAGAGAGCTATCCCATATAAGAAAAGGCATTTTGACAGGAAAAAAAAAGTAGAAAGAGGAAGACAAAAAAAATTAATTGGTTTTGATCAATACATCAAAAAAAGTCTGGAAAATATATGCAGTGTTCCATACTTCAGGACCTCTCACCTCTGCAAAAGATTGGGGAAGGTGTCTTCTCATGCTTTCAATAAATGTTTATTAAGTGATTCCTATGTATGAGGCACTATGGGGCTCCAAAGACAAAAATCAAAAAATAGAACCTACCTTCCAGCAACTTAAATTTATGTTACTTGGTGAGTGCCACCATCGTCATCAACCTATTTACTGTTTCCTCATTGTCTCACTCTTTTCAGCAAGTTGTAGATGTGAAAGATTGAAAAAGAGATAGGGGAAAAAGGAAGGCAATGATTTCTTTATATTGCTCCAATGTTCACTCTATGATGTGGATTGCAGTCTACTTATTGAAATAACTCATAGGGAGCATAAAGGATCATATTTGTTGTTCAGTGCCTGTCCTTGAGCTTGGCTAATAAATAAGTCATTGGCTCTAGTCTTATTTCTTTCTATGCAAAAATGCTTTTTTGTTTGTCAGGAACATGGTATTTTCTTTTTATCTGCTGAATGGTAGAAGATAAAGAATCAAAAAAGAGTTCAGTAATCAAAGAGGTTAAAAGAATGAATTTGACTTGAGACACTTTCTGCCTCTAAGTATCAGCGACTTTGGATATAGACTATAGAGACTTTAAACAGCTTACAGTTAGTTACCTGAAAGAAACTGTTGAAATTCTACTAGAATTTTGTTATATTGAAAATGTCTTGAAACAAACAGGTTCTTTGTTATATTCTAACAGGATTTAAAAACTTAGCCATTTATATCTGTATGTTCATTCTTTTAGCTCAGTTAACCAAAAATTCTTTCTAACGGAATCATTTTTGAGACCTAATTTTGGGGGTGGTAATTTAATTTTAGGTATTTGCAATACTCATTTAATTCCTAATAATTCTTAATAGAACCCTTACAATATTGAAGGGGTAAGAGGTGGGGAGGAACAAGGCACAACTGAACTGCTCATGTAACTGCTCCAGTTCTTCAGAATTGATATGTAAGAACACTGCCTTTGTTATTAAAGGGAAGGACCTTCGGCATTTGTCTGAGACAGGTGCTGTCATAAAGATAGGCTCAGTGTTGTGAAGGATTATGCAGTAGTCAAATATAGAAGCAAAAGGGCAAAGAAGTAGTTACTTTGAGCTTAGGGAAGTAGTTTACACATACACAGACTGAGTAACCTTTGAGTGTTTAAATTGTTCACTTTATTTTTTCAGGAACTTGGCTAGAATGTGATGATTTAAAAGGATCATACTGTAAAAGACATCAGAGATTTGAAGTTCCTGCTTCAGAAATTCACATTGTTATCTGGGAAAGGAACATTTCCAAAACAGTAGATCAATCCAATGTAGAATTTCCAGTTAAAAAGACAGAAAGTTTCAGCCTCAGTGATTCTAAACCAGAATCTCTGGCTTTGTGTTCTGGTGGTGATGCTGCCACTGAAATGTTTTCAGCGTTTGATCAGGAGAATATTCTAAGTGCTCCAACTACCGATCCACAATATGTAGTAGCCACAGATCATGAGCACAGTTTACTTTCTGGTCTAGAAGATTTGGTAGATAATGATGTTATAACTTTAACACTCACAGAAATTCATGTTGATTCTGAGGGCAATCTAATTGAAAATCAGCCAGTGATAGAAGATCAGTCCGTGATAAGAGATAAGGCAGTTGCTGAAATGGACACTTTGCAAAAACAAGAATTAGTGTTAGCTTCTTCACAGTTAGCTCCATGTAGGGAAACACCTGTCCAACCTCAAATTCCGCCTACTAGTATCCTAATTCAGAATGCTAGTATTGATTTGAAATTGGATCAGCTGAATGCAGAAAATACTTCAGATACTATCTGCATGAATAACACAGTACATGTGACTACTCTTCCAGAAGGAGAGAAGCCATTACAAATTCAAGAGACAAAAGTTAATTTTTCTCCCATTGCCTTGGAGAAGGGTGCTATGTCAAATCCAGTCCTTTCATCAAAGGTTGAAAAACTTGTATCAAAACAAAGTGTCTTATCTCAAGTATCTAATTTGAAAACAGCAAATAGTATAGGAGATTCCCAAAGTGTAGTCCTGGGTTCAACACATAATTCTTCACAATCCCAGTCACAGAAAAAAAAGTTTGTAGGAAGTTGGGTAAAAGGATTACTAAACAAGGGAGTTTCTTTTATGCCATCTTGTGCCTCAGCTAATGAAAGAAAGGTCCGTTTGCAAAAGACAACTGACTTGAACTCTCTGGTTAAAAGGGCAAATAATTTTCGGGGCTTTAAACCTAAAGGTATAACAAATCAAACAAGTCCTCAAGCACCCAAGAAAACATCCAGTTCTGCATGCAACTCACTTCCAGTTCATAACTCTTTACCATCAAATATTAGTGCATCCTTAATACCTGATGAAGTTCAGGAGGGTACAAAGGTTTTGACTAAATCTTTGCATAAAAGTGTTCAGCCCCTCTCTGGTGGGATACCTCCTAAGCACAATTTTAATGGAAATGAAAATCACATCTCTTCAGGGACATATGAGAGTCAAACTCATAAACTTCGTCTAAAACTTCTTAAAAAACTTAAGGCAAAAAAGCAAAAACTGGCCACTCTTCAAGCTCTCCAAATAAATGGAAATCCTCCAAAGAAAAGTACAAAACCCTTGTCCCAGGATGCATCTCCAAATGAATGTGAATCACTGCAAGGCCTGTTAATGGAACTCCAGGATCATATCAATGCCACAGATAATAAACCTAAGGGTACCACACATTCCAGTATTTCCCTGTGTAATAGCCCAACTCATGAAGAATTTTTAGCAGAGTTACTGTCTTCTACTACAACTGTTGCCTCATCAGAACTCCCAAGGGATAGAGAAAATGATTGTGAGTATTTGGAGATGGTAGATAACCATAACATAATGCCAACATCTGGTGACTTTGTCAGTGGATTCTCTTCTGCATATCCTAGCAAAGACCATAATTATTATAGTCCTGTAAAACAAAGTCAGTATGAAGTTCAAGTGGACTCACTAACGAATAATTCTTGTGCTAAAACATTAAACTTGGAAAATCCCCTGAAGACGGACATTCTTGATGAATTTTTTTCCACTTCAGTATTAAGTTCTTCAGCAGATGACATAGAATATTTACCTCATTTTGATGACTATATGTTTGATAGTTGAATGTTTGTCAGTGTTTTTAGAATTTAATATTTGTATTATTGCTTTAGGAAAAATATTAAATTATGTTTTCAAATAAACTGCACGCTGGCTGTGCTCAAAATGTAAATCAGAAACCTGGTTTGTGAAATGTATTGTTTGTTTGAACAAAATGTAACATACTAACGTCCTTATTATTTCCCAGAAAGCACTTCTGATCTCTGAATTAAAATTATCAAAATTCTGTTTTAAACATTTGGGGGTTAATTTTTTATTTTGTGGAATTAATGTTTAGTTTCTACAATTTAGATAATTAGAAATACAGCTAATGGACAACTTTTTGATCTCTACTGTTTTAAAATGATAGATATTGATAATATGAATTTATAAATCCCAGGACTTTAAATAAAATGCATGACAGGGCTTATTAATGGACTTCATATGGGGATTCTGTGCTGAAAATGTAATTTTTTAAAAGGAGTCTTTGAATGGCATAGATGACAGTCAATAAATAATTGGAAACAAAATCATTGGTAGGAGCCAATATATATATATATCATGTTGGGCAGCTAGGTGGCGCAATGGAGAGAATTCTGGTACTGGAGTCAGGAGGACTCCTTTCTGATTTCAGATGTGGCCTCAGACACTAGCTGTGTGACCCTGGGCAAGTCACTTGATTGCCTCGGTTTCCTTATTTGTAAAATGAACTGGAGAAGGTAAACCAATCCAGTATCTTTGCCAAGAAAACCCCAAATAAGGTCACAGACAGTTGTACATGACTGAATGACAAGAAAATATGTTAATAAATAAAATAAACTTGTTTTCCACAGTAGAGTGAGAATAGGGTCCGTATATCTCAGTTGTTTGTATGTACCTGGAAGAAACAATTTTGGCTTTCCATATGCTACTTTCAGGTTGCCAGGATGTAGAGGAATGTTGAATTGGCAATGTCAACATACTTTACATCTTCTGTATATTTCATTCAACAAATGTTCAAATAATGTGGCTGCTGAAATGATTGTAAGGGTGGTGGCCCTTACCTTACCAAGAAAGAATAGGTAGGACTATGAGGGTGAACATTAGAATGTATTTCAGCAGATTGTGAGGGAAAACTACGGACATGTAGCCTAATTTTACTGTTCGATACCACTCTGATCCTGTAATACTACGTTGAGAACTTAGGTTCTTAGTTGTGCCAGTGGAAAGTGCCAGAGCTGGTTGGCTGGATGTCTCCTCCAAGAAAAAGGATGGTAACTCTTAAAGGTTGGCCGGAGAATGATTAATATTTTTTTTGTCACTACATCTTGATGGGAAACTCAGTTTTTTAAATCAGATTCTTAACTTGGGAGTCTGTAAACTTAAACAATTGATAATTTTCAATATAATTCTTTTCCTTTGTAATCCTATGTATTTTATTTTATGCATTTGAAAACATTATGGGAAGGAGTTCATAGGCTTTGCCGGACTGCCAGAGGTGTCAGTGACATGCAAAAAGATTCAGAATCTCTATTTTAAAGCATATTGTTCAAGACCTCCCTTCCACATAAAATACACAAACATTTGAAATGCCTGTCTTACAGTATATTAATGCCCCAGGAAAAGACTTCTGAATAACCTTTCGACACAGGGTACAAATGTACTGTGATCCAGTGAACATTTTGTACTAAAAAATACTGGCTGGCTTTCCTTCTAGCAAATGTATTCAGTACCCACTGTAAAATGTATACTGTAACTGGGCACAATGGAGGCAGTAATCCAAGAAGATGATGTCAGTCCCTGCCTTTAAGGAGTTTCCCAATGTAATAAGGCAGATAGCAGATAGATAAAACACAAATGAAAGTATATCAATAAAATGCCTAATAATATAATTTTTAAAAATTGTAGTACTTTCTACTAGTGCTAAAGGAATACAGGGAAAATCTCAAATATACCAGAAGAATGTTACAGAATTCAATTCTTAAGATATGCCCACAGGAGAGATTGTAGAGAAGGAGACTGTGGAACACTGCAGTTTTCAAGTGGAAAGGAAAAAAAAGACCTTTATCTTATTGAGAGTGAGTAAGCACTGTGTAGCTCATTGAAATGCCCTGTTTAACTCTCTTGAATTAGCCTGACATCACTTAAGGGAGAGGAGTTACCAATATGCACCCAGTGCTTGGAGATGTTGCTGCCACAGCTGGCATTTACCTCAGTTTCTAAGGTAGTGTATCCAAGTTCTATTTAATAGGAGGTGACAACTATAAAGTAACTATAAAACCAGAAATATGATCTTTTGTTAAGTTCTGCAAAAAAACCGCTGTTCAAACATTGCACAGAATTTTAGAGCATAGTGAACATTGGTTCTTTGGTATTGTGTGCCAGTGCCTTGCTTACAGTGTATGAACAGCATCTCTAATCCACTTAATTATTTTGTTGATTAATAGCACCTAGTTGCTCCCTGGCATTTCAATCACAACTTACTTTTACTTTGCTTGGGCTATGAAAGACTTAAAATTAAAGCACTTAACCACTTTTCTGATTTACAGAGTAGTTGAGGGTGATCAGCTTTGTTTAGCGTGGTATTAAAAAGACTAGTGAAATAAAGAATTAATCTTGTTCAAAAGATGTGATCAGTTTTCCGAGTTTGAAATTCTGTCAACCACATGTGAAAACATGTTCCTAACCAGTAATAATGAGAGAAATGCAATAAGACAACTGAGATATCTTACCCATCGAACTGGAAATAAAGTTTGAAGGCTTGTGGAAATAAGCCGTTGAGTGGAGCTGTACCAACTGTTTTAAAACTTTCCAAACAGTGGAAAAAATTATTTGGAATTAAGATGGAAAAGTTAACAGTTTGTTCCCCTTTGTCCAGAACTCCCACTAAGAAGCTTGCACCCCACAAGGTTACTATATCTCTCAAAAGACTCGGCAATTTATGGTAGTTAAGAATTGGAAAAGTACCTGCACTTGGATTGGGAAAAGGCTGAACAAATGGTAGTATACAATTGTGATGGAAGCTGGTGAACACAAAGAATTTAGAAAAATGTGAAGACAAAAACAGGGCAAAGAAAGCAGAACCAGGGGGATGATAGACACGATTTATAGAAATGTAAATGAAAACAAAATTAGAAGATACTTAAATACAGTGACTAATATTGGTTCCAGATAACATGTTAAAATAGTCTCTGTGAAGAAATAGTAAATTATAAATGTAGAATGTTGCATGTTGTGTCAATTGTAGCTACTGTTGTTAGATAGTTTTGCTTAAGCTTTTTAAAAAAAAAAGAATGGGAAGGAATATTGGAAAATGATTGTTAAGTCAAAAAGTGTATCAATAAAATACAAGTTTAAAAAAATCCATCTTTAAATAGTTAATCTAGTTCTTCTTGGGGCAACTCTGCCATGTTGTTAATTCGTCCTTTACTCCAATGAATCTGAGCTCTGTATGTTTCCTCTGGTGATGCAGATTGCAACCTATATATTGCAACCTTGCTTGTCCATTCTGGGCAACTCTTGTCCATGGTCCAAAAGTTTGCCACAGGGAATCTAGCCAAAGTGCTGGAGGACTTACTTGATTTCTCCTGACCTTATGGGATATCAGTGAAGCATTCAGACTGCCTATCATCCTTCACCCTAGTCACATGACCCAGACTAGTTTGTCTTTAATTCTTACTTTTTTTGTCTTTGTATTCCCAGCACCTAGCACAGTATGTTAATAGGGACCGATTGAAGACCACAGTTCTGGTTGTTTGTTTTAAATTGTTTGGTTTCAAAAGGTTCATAGAAATTAGAGCTAGATGAGACCTTAGAGATAATTAATTCTGACTCATTCATTTTATAGATGAGGAAATTGAAGCCCAGAGAGTTGAAGCAACTTGCCCAAGGTCACATACATTGTAAGTAGCAGAGCTGAGATTTGAACTTAGGTCCTTTGACTTCCAAATTCAGTACTCTTAAAAAGATCAGTCATTTCCCAGTTGATACTGAACTCTTCATTGTAACAAAGAGTTGAGAAAAACAACCATATTCCGATGGCCTTTTCATTTTACTTATTCCTATTTTTAATCTGTTCCAGTAGCTACGTAGCTCAATGGATAGAGCACCAGGCCTGGAGTCAGGGAGATCTGAGTTCAAATCCAGCCTCAGAAACTTCCTAGCTATGTGACCCTGAGCAAGTCACTTAACCTCCATATGCTTGTTAGCTGCTCTATAAAATGAGGGTAATAATAGCACCTACGTCACACTGTTGTTGTGAGGATCAAATGAGATAGTAATTATGAAGTGGTTAGCACAGTGCCTGACAGTGCTTTATAAATATCAGCTATTACTATTATTATTACATGGATCTTCCCTCCAGTACTGCCAATCATAACTTGTCCATACCCTCTTATTGTGTGCAATACTCATCCATGCCTTCTTTAGCACAGTAAAGGACACAGTGTGTTTCCATTTCATCCTACCAGCTAGTATCCTGGAGATCTTTCTTTAGATCTTTTAAACATTCTGTAATGTAGAACTGTAGCTGTCCATTTGATATTTTTCATTTGGTTTATAACAATCTTTGTCTAGTTCATTTTGGAGATGATGTCTTTTATATCAATTATTTTGCGCAAGTCATTGATAGTATGTTGCAGCCTACTCACACCCATTTTGTGACCCTCCCTTGCCCTTTGGGTCACCCAGAATTTTAAATGAGAGATTGTGGTATTCTATGGTCCACAGCTTTATAGTATCACTGGTGCATAACTGATATTTAAAAAAGTAGGTGGTTGTGTCAGGAAGCAAAGTGGGATCGTTGAAATTAAGTTCAAGGATTTATTAGACATCATTATGTACCAGACACTGTCTTGGGCGCTATGGATGCAAAGACACTCCTGCCCCCTGCAAAATCAACCCTCAATCCTCCCTGCCCTCTAGAAGTCCAACTTCTGCTGGGTGAAGAATATATTCAAAATATATACAGTGTAATTGGGGCAGGATTGGGGGGGGCAAACAAATTCAAAGTAATTTGGGAGAGAACTAACTGGGAAATCAGGAAAGGCCTCTTGTACCAGGTGATATTTGAACTGACTCCTGAAAGGAATTAGGGACTCTTAAGAGGTGGAGGCTAGCAGGAAAATACCTGTAATTCACCTGTGCAGAGGCAAAAGATGGAATGTCATGTGGGAGAAATAGTAAGTAAGCCAGTTTGGCTGGAACAAAGTGTATGAAGATAAATAATGGATAATGTTGAAAGTTAGATTGAAGCTAGATTATAAAGACTTCTAACTG